TTATTATTATTATTGTATGTGTGTGCATGTGGAGGTCAGAGGCTAACTTCTGTGGAATGCGCTTTCTCCTTCCACCATGCAGGTTCTGGGGGTCGAACTCAGGATGTCGGGCTTGGAAACAAGTGTCTTTACCTGCTGAGCTAGCTAGCTGGTCCAAAGGGTCTTTTTACTTCCATAAGAATTCTTCGAACCTATCTTCACCCCCACCCGCTAACAAGCAGCAAATTAAAGATCTCTGCTTGTGTGTGTGTGAGTCAAAGGACATTTCTGCGTTTGGGTTCTCTCTAAGAAGTAATCCAGCTGGTAAAGGGTTAAGAAGCACTTTGAATCCCAGGTGAAAGCCAGAGGATCTGAAGTTCAAGGTCAGCCTACGTACCAAATTCAAACCCAATCTGATGGGGTTGCTGAGATGGGGGACAGAGGTATACAACAAACAGTGTGGGAGGGGAGGGTATGAACAAAGTGAGTTCTAACTCCCCAGAAGTTCAGTTCAGAAGGAGCCAGCCAAAACCGGTCACGTACCCTTCAGTCCAGAATCCCTGAGCACTGTTCTGAGAGGATTTTGTACGTGTGAGAATAAAGATGTTTGGGCTGGAGAGATGGCTCAGCAGTTAAGAGCACTGATTGCTCTAGCAAAGGACCCAAGTTTGATTCCCAGCTCCCACAAGGTGACTAACAACCATTTGTAACTCCAGTTCCAGGGGAATCAACGCCCTCTTCTGACCTCCAAGGGCATTGCACAGCATGGGTGCATTTACATACATATAGGCAATACACTCATACACGGAAAACAAAAATAATAATATATTTTTTAAAGAATAAAGGTGTTCATCCCAACACTTTTTTTATGTGCATGACTGTTTTGCCTGCATATATGTAAGTGCACCACATGTATGCAATGCCAATGGAGGCCAGAAGAGGGCATCAGATCCCTGGAACTAGAGATATGGATGGTTGTAAGCCACCATGTAGGTGCTAGGAACCAAACCTAGGTCCCCTGCAAAAGCAGCCAGTGCTCTTAACCACTGAGCCACCTCTCCAGCCCTACTAAAACCTCCAAAACTGTTTTAATAGCTATAAACTGGAATCAGGGACTAAACTGATGGCCAAAAAAAAAGCGAAGGGCACCCTTTGAAACAGATCCTCCTGCAACAGAGCCCTCCTGTGAAGGGGGCTGCCACCTCTCTCTGGCCCCAGGATTTAGGGGGTTCCCCCATCTGGGCAGGTTTTTAAGGCTGCAAAGGGCTAGGAGGGCTGAGAGCAGGCCTGGTGGTGGGGGAGTAGTGCCCAGGAGACAGGCTGCCCCTGGGGCCACCCTCCACCGTAGAAAGCTCTGGCAAGCATGCTACACATAACTTCTAAAGTAGACAGCAAGGGAAAAGCAAGACCAAAGGCCACAGCCCCAGACTTTTCCTCACCTGCACAATGAGGGCTTGACAGACCACCTATCATAAGTGCTCCCAATAGCAGAGGCTGTCCCTCAGGAATCCTGGGCCATGCTCTTAGGTGGAGCCCAGGGAGGGCACAGGGTGAGTCCCAATATTTGCATTGTGTGCCTAGGGACTGAAGGCTTGTGAACTTGGGCAAGTGGTTATTTTGGTTTGAGTTCTGATATGTAAACACAGAGTATGGGCAATGTTTATCCACTACATACACAGAAATGGCATCACTTGCCCCAGTCAGCCGAGAAGTCACACCTCAGTCTTGCAAACGCAGAGGGGAGCTGGTCAGCAACTATGACATTAAATACCGTGAGGTATATTATATATCCTGAGTTTAGCCCATACAGACCCCTTAGGGGGAAGAGTTTGGATTTTCAGAAAAACTAAGATACTATGAGGCTGTTTTGTAATAGGTAGCTAATAGGATCTAGTTTAACTGCCAAGCCCTGGGTCACTGGACGGTCTCAATTCCCGAAGTCTCCACTGTCCGCGGATAACACTGTCTGTCCTCACCTCTGTATCACTGACTCCCAACCCACAAGCACAGCATGAAAATACCCTATTTTTTCTAACTTTTATTACTTTTTAAAGATTTGTGTTTTTTTCAAATATTGGGGAGGGCTATGCACATGTGTGTGAGTATAGGTACCTGTAGAGGCCAGAACAGAATGTCAGATCAGCTCCTGACAGTTGCGAGCCACCCAGCGTAGGTGCTGGGAATTGAACTTGGGTCCTCTGTCAGAGCAGCATTTACTCTTAAGCACTGAGCCAGCCCCCCAGATCCCCATTTCTTTTTTTTAAGATTTATTTATTTTTATTTTATGTGTATGTAAGGGCACCATGTGTTCGAGTGGCACGGGAAGCCAGAGAGGATATTGGATCCCCTAGAACTGGGGTTACAGAGGGCTGTGAGCTGTCACGTGGTTGCTGGGAACCAAACTGGGATCCTCTACAAGAATAGCTAGTGCTCTTAGCACTGAGCCATCTCTCCAGCCTCTATTTACCCTTTCTTAGCAGCATTCCAATGGCTCATAACTAAAGTGGGCTGGATGTGGTCTGCAGGCAAGTGCTTCCCCAGCATGCTGAAGGCCCTGGGTTTGATCTACAGTACCACCAGAAAAAAAAAAAAAAAAAAAAAAAAAATCTATCATGCCCCTCAGGGCAACAGCTAAATTACCTCGACTTGTCCACACCATTGTTTGTACAGAAAGTGGTTCTAAGCCCAAATGTATTCCTGTGTGTCTGGACTGCTTTAAACATTCTGAGGTACTGGTACACACAGATTTGAGAGAGGATGGGGTACTCACTGCCCAGGACTGACAAAGGACACTTCACTTACAACATCCTTAAGGAATATCTTTGTGTTCATGTGGACTGGTTTGGTGTCCTGTGAGTGACTAGGAGCTGATTAAAAGGGCATAAAATCTAAAGCCCATAGACAGTGGGGATTCAGCAGCATGCCCTGCGTCGATGCCATCCTGTTAGACTGCTGGTATTCCTCATTACTGTGGCTTGCAGGGCCTGCCAGCTTGGTGGTAAACACTGCCTAGTTGCTTACGGAATGAATAAAAGAATCCATCCTAAGTTAGCCTGCCAGTTCTTAAGCTGTGAGTCAGAAAAGGAAGACAGGACCTGTTTCCATCCAAACTTTCCATCTGACTCCCTCAGCGGAGGTGGGGGCAATTCCTGCCTCCTGCCTCCTCCTCAAAGAACATTTAAGGAAAACATGACACATTCTGGGTCCTACGCTGGCTGCACTCACCTGATGGTTTCAGTCCAGTCCAATCTGTCGCTTTTGTTTCACTAAATGAATTCTCTAAATCACCATTCTCCTCAGCTGGGTGTTCAAAGTGGGTCAGATGATGCATAATGGCAGAACCTTTCAGGAAACTGGAGGCTTTCCCAACGTGTTCCTATCAGATTCTGGACTATTTCTTAGCCGAAAAAAGAAAGAGTTCTCTTCTTTGAAGCTTTTTGTTCATTTAAAAAAAAAAAAATAAGTGTCTTAGCAAACCATGTTTCCAAAAGTAAACTGGAAACTACCAGTAGTGAATCTTATGCCCCAGAAGAATCCTGAAGAAACAGCGGTTGGAATGGATCCAGCTACATGTAGGGTCACAATAAACACACCTTTGCGCTGGCTCCACAATTCACTGCGCAGCTGCTCAGAACAGGGATAAAAAGAGCTGGCTGGGCACTGCAGATCTCTTCATGCCTGGTTCATCCTAAAAAAGGAAGCACGCAGCCCCTAAATGAGCAATCACTCCCTTTTCCTGCTCCTCGACAGACAGTAGCTGAGCTGCAAGTCCTGGCCAGGACAGAGAGCCGAGAGCCTGCTGAGGCAACTAACCAAACTGGAGAGCCGTCCTAAATGTCAGGACGGCTTCCCGCCGTCCATTTATCAGAACAGACCCTTGCATTACAACCAAAAAAAAAAAGTTTCTCCTCCGGAATCCTCCTTAAATAAGGTTTCGACAGTCAAGATTACACGGAGACACGCTCCCCCACCACACACACACACACACACACACACACACACACACAAACCCGGCTTTTTGGATCTGTCCACCCAAGAACTGTGTGGCCGTGTCCAAGGAAGAGGCAATCCAGAAAAATGAATATTCATCAGATTCGATTTTATTAAATTCGAGAATTCCATTATGCGTTTCACTTGCTCCGATGCAAAACTTTAAAAGGAGGGTGGGCCACGGTAATCGTGTCTGAGCCAGAAAATAAAAGGGTTACGGTGGCCAGCCCATGGCGACCTGGGAGGTCACGTAGCACCCCCTACTTCTACAGTCCTCCAGGGTCCTCTTGGCCACTGGAAACTAATCCAAAGGGCCTGGCCGGCCAAGCCTGGCGGGCTGCGAGAGAATCCTGGGTCACACCCAGGTCTCCTTTCCGCCCCCTCCTGCCCACCTCCACATCCTCAAAAATCACCAAACAAACCAAGAAAACAGCAGTTGGATGTGACCCCAAAGCCGGGTGAACTGGACCCTACTTTTACAGTTACCGAATAAGAACTGGTTCACAGGGTCTTCCTCCAGGGACCTGAGTTTTTCCTCTGTAACTTCGGAGGCCGGGGGAAGGCCTGCAAGGTTCAGTTTGGGGTGACCCCCCCCAACCCAATACTGCCCAAGTACTTCCGAACCCCTGACCGGTCTGGCTAGCCCTCAGAATAGACGGGAGCAGCGACCCCCAAAACTCGGGTCAGAGCTCAGCGTAGATGGGGAGCAGCGCCCCTAGCAGACGGGGCCGGGAAGCACCGCGCGCGCCCCGCTGCCCTTCCCTCGGCCCAGACAATGGCTTTCCGTAGGGACAGCGCAGCTGGAAACCAGTGGGACACGAGGGGCTCCGGGGTGCACGCACCCCTCTCCACGCGCGTGCAGCCCCGAGCCCCGCAGACCCCGGCCCCCAACCGCTGCAGCCGCGAACAATGCGCGCCCCGCCCCGCGCGC